CCTACATCAGGCTCTCTGTTCGGCAGGGAGCCTGCTTCCCCTTCTCTCTCTGCTTGCCTCTCGGCCTACTTGTGATCTCTCTCTCTCTCTGTGTCAAATAAATAAATAAAATATTAAAAAAAATTTAACATTATTAGTGATAATCATTAATTCCATAATTGCTCCTGCCTTTTTCCTTTTTTTTTTTTTTTTTTTAGGTAAGTCTCTAAGGCAAAGGCATTACCATAAGGGAATTACTTAGTTTAACATAAAAAAAAAAATTGGAAGAAAAATGTAAAGTTCTTCATTTTAGTTTAACAGTTAGTTATACGCTTAGGGTTTGAGTATTATTTGCCCCTTCCGAGGGGACAAATTTGACTTCTGATCATGCCTTAGATTGCTGATTTCTAGTGCAGATATAACCTGCAGCATCCGTGGAACTTAGAGACAGAGTGAATCATAACATCTTATCTTAAAATGTCAGTCTTTTAACTCTTAGCAATGCTAAGCAGTCAGGTATCTCCTCTATTGGATAAAGGTGTTATTTTCAGAGAAAGAAATATCTGCAGTAGTGCAACATTTACTCACAAGATCATGGGCAAATTTTCAGAAAAAAGAAATTTAACTTAATATGAAAAATATCAGGGCCAAGTAGAAATAGCACTTGTTAATATATGAGTCTGAAGGCAAGTATAACTATTAAGTTATTGACTCCATCAGTGATTTGAAAGAATTTTGAGCTTTCCAAAAATTTCTGAATTACAAACTACTGTACCCAGCTTTTTACTGATTGGAAATAGATCACTGCCTATTTTCTTAGACATCAATAGTAACTCCTGCTTGTAGAATGTGCTGGAGTTTGGAAAGCTGAACTTCAATTTCTTTAACATCTGCCAGAAATTCAGTAATCCTGTGTAATAAAAATTAGAAAACACAACATATGACCATCATATTAATAGCTGTATTACAGGAAATTGTAGTATAAAATTAGGAAATGATGTATAATATTAATACCTCTCTATCTAAAAATAGAGTATATTTCTGTGCATAGTCTAATTAGTGGTCTTCATTGTAATACTTGTGGTTTCCTATATTTGCTGTATTGTGTCTGGGTCTCCACATAAAATCTTCCTTCCTTGTAAGAGTGCTCCTCTTTATGCAGCTCCTTCATCTGGCTAATTGACTAAGTCTTTAAGACTAAGATTAAAAATAATTTCTGGGGTGCCTGGGTGGCTCAGTGGGTTAAACTCTGCCTTCGGCTCAGGTCATGATCTCAGGGTCCTGGGATTGAGCTCCGCATCAGGCTCTCTGCTCAGCGAGGAGCCTGCTTCTCCCTCTCTCTCTGCCTGCCTCTCTGCCTACTTGTGATCTCTATCAAATAAATAAATAAAATAAAATAAATAATAATTTCCTCTTGGAAATTCCTAAATTCATCTACTTTGTCTTTTTGATCACATGTATGCAATGGCTACAAAAACTTCTAGCACATGAGAATGCTCAATACTTGTTAAATAAATGAATTAAATAAGTTCTCAATCCTTATTAAATAAATGAAAGTCTAGGTGCCCTTTCCTCAATTTTTTTTCCTCATAGCACCTTGAGTTCACCTATGTCAAGTAACACTTGCTCTATATTCAAATAACTTTTATATCTGTCTTCTTAAAGTATACTTTTTATGGGAGGGATGAGTTCTTGTTCACCTCTTTGTCCCCACACCTAGTGTAGTATGTGGTGTTGGTAGGTGTTTAATAGATACTTTGGAATAAATAATGGGTGACATTTACAAGTCCCTGGAGTTTAGATATGCCTTGGCCATTCCTATCAAGCTCCTTTTCTCCTACATGTTCTTCTTAAGAAGATGCTGTCTGTGTTAGGATTATTGTTTACTTTCATTCATAAAAGCAGGAAGAAAGAGCATTCTGGTGAAATTAGGGTTCTCGTGAAAATTTCTTTGGAGAAATTCATACCAAAGTCCTCAGACATAAAACGTTTGTGAATAAATATATTCTATGTAAAAGTGGAAGTCTATATGTATTTTACCTAAGGATTTGTAAGAGGTGAGTAGAAAATACTGATTTAAGTAAGAGAAGCATGGGATAGTGAAAAATGGTATTGGATTCAGGAGAATGTGAGCCTAGTCTAGCTAGTATATACTAGCCTAGCCTAGTATATTCTGTTTCACTGAAAATATTTTCTTAAATGGAAAATAAAAAGGGGAGCTTCAAGAGCCTCACCTCTAACAGCCACAATCCCATGCCAAATGGTAAACCGTAATCACATCAGTTTTTCTTTATTTTCTCTCTCTGAGTTTTTGCATTTGGATAATTTTGATTTACTTCTGGATGATTATCAAAAATTATGTTGTTGAATGACTTGATATTTAAAGTGCCAGTTCTTTAAAATTTACAATAGGATGACCTTAGTTGACAACTGTGTGCTTTGAAAGGGATTTTATTTCATTAGCGCCCCCAGCAGGGGAAGGAGGGAAGGTCAGCATCAGCATTTCAACAGTCCCATGTTGGAAATGGGGAACCCCAGACAGTCATACTGAATGGAGCCGCTTGATGGGAGCCATTTATTCCCACCCTAAGAATTAGAGATCCTGACATCTTGTTCTTTGTTTTGTTCACTTGGCCCTGTGCCAGATTTGTAATCCTCTCTGCAAAGTGTTTGCTTCCTCAGTATTTTCCTCTCAGAGTCTTTTTACTTCGAGGTCCTCATTCATCAGTGCCACCCAGGTCTGTGATTTCTGAATGGAAGTTACAGCCTAACTCCAGTCTGTGTGGCCTTTGAAACAAATGGTGTTGTGTGGGTTTATCCTTTTCTGTGGTGCAGATACTGAAAAGTACCTGGCACTGTGGGAAGAAACAAGCCTGTCAAGAAGGCCTATAGTGTACACAGTGCCTTGATTATATCCGACCATCAGGAAAACCCTCAGTCATCCCCAGGTCATACCATAAGACTGTAAGTGTCCAGACAAATTGGGAAAACCCTTGCACTCTAGCTCTAAGGAAACAAATAGCCCTCTTTAGTGAGTAACCAGGGGCTGCTCTCTAAGCCCTCACTGTGACCCCTCAGAGGTACAGATGTCAACCAGTCAGGCCTCCTACACTGACCCCTCCAGAAAGCAGATCCATACCAGCCAGTCGTTTGCCACCTTGTCTTCTTACCCCTAGCAATTCAGGCTAAGTGGGGGGCGGGGAGGGGGGGTAAGGGGGAGAAAGGGAGCAGGCGTTGCTATTAGTACACAAAAGACAGGTTTTCTGTCGTAGGGAAGAGCCAAACTGGAAGAGTCCACAGCGTTCTTTCTAGACTAATTGTCCAAATAAAGGGAGATAGTATAGCAAGTTCAGCTAGAAAAAGCAGTTTATCTGAAGAAAATTTCCAGCGTTCTTCATATGCTTTCAGTTAAATTCCTCACAGTTTGGCGGTTTTATACGGATTTGATTTTTCCCAATAGTTTATATTTTAGCGTAACTGCCCTATCTCTACAAGTGTCTTATCCATTGAAAAGTCCACAAGCTTGGAAGCATTTGGAAATATTTAAACTATAGCGTATGAATTTATTTTATTTTATTTAAAGATTTTGCTTATTTATTTGACAAAGAGAAACACAGCTAGAGAGGGAACACAGCAGGGGGAGCAGCAGAGGGAGAAACAGGCTTCCTGCTGGGCAGGGAGCCGAATGTGGGGCTGGATCCCAGGACCCAGGGATCATGACCTGAGCTGAAAGCAGATGCTTAACGACTGAGCCACCCAGGCACCCCTAGCATATGAATATTTCACCAGTGGAAACCATGATTTGGAAAAAATAATATATATATCTGTGATTTCTAAGCATTTAGGGAAATCAGCATTTTATTTTTAGCTTAATTTTTGGTTTGAAATGAGCATTCTTTTTATTTATTTATTTTTTTGAACCCTCTCAAAATGCTTTGGAGTATACATCACAGTTTTTAGAAAATAAAGTACACTTAATTTTTTTTTTTTTTGATGTGTTAAACTTTTCATTTCAGTGAGATAGAGAAGTGTCAGAGTTGAATCAGGTCCCAGCAGAGCTTTGCCTATACCAAGCCCCTTGAAGTTACGCTCTTTCCTAAGCCCCTGTGGCTTTAGGGTCTTTATATATCAGGTTGGCTTGAGGATGTCTTGCCCTCAAGTTGTAGTGAAAAACCAGTCAAGTGAGATAATATATGGAGAGTCTTTGAAATATAAAAAAAGAATGTACTTGAAAAATTAGAAACAAATGTAAGCTCCATTCACACTTACTTAGTTATCTTATAAACATACAAGTTCTCCTAGAATTTATCTTTTTATCATATCTCAGAATTTATTTCCAAATGTCTCTGGCCACATAGTATAAAAATATAACTTATTCAAACTAATGAGTTGTTTGACCATTTTGACTACCAATGTTTTGATGAATTTGGGATATATGTTTAATTTTATGTTGAATTTCTATGATTTAAATATCAGTAATTACTAGTGCCCAGTGAAGGTCTAGTAAAAAGCACAAATAATGGAGAATTTGCTAATAATGTACAAGCGAGGTGAGAAAGGCTGCATATAAACATTGGGAAAAGGACAGGTTAATGATCTATACTCTCCCCATAAAAATATTTTTAAGTCCATGTGTTAGATCTTCATACAGATTTATAGAATATGGAATGAGTGACTTTTTTTTTAATCTAACTTTAAGAACATATTTATAAACTAGTAACAGAAAATTTTATCCATTTCTTTTAGTATTCTATCCTAAGATTTAGTTAGCTATTCCTAGTGGTTATTCGTTTATGTGACTTAAAATCCACTTAAGAGAAATATTGTTGCCTTGAAAAAATTATTTCCTTCAGAGGAGAAAGTTGCCAAACTGACTATCCCATAAATATCAACTGAGATGGTGGGAAAACAGTAAGGATTTGGTGTTGTTCCCAGGTTTCACTACTCTCCACGATTCATCTTCCATCGTTCTCTTTCTCCTTCCTCTGACTTTTTCAACTTCTCTTCCACTTTGCCTCTAGGGAGAAGTCTCCAGTGGAGTACAGTCACTGAAAAACTACGTGGAAGAAGTGAGTTTTAAGGTAGCCTTGTAACATAGTCTGAAATAAGTCTGTCATATAGGACAAATATTCACTTGGGATCTCTCCATCTGCTGTAGGGTTTCCAGTCTATAGCAATTCACTGGTCATGCCCACAAAGCCAGGATAATAAATAACATGTTATCAAAATGTTTTTTTCCCTCATTGATGGAGGGATGCCTTATAACAAGTCAGTCATCCTGAAAATGAAGGCAAAACTGCCCAAACCTAGGGCTATCATATATTTTCACTCACAAACATTTGTTGATATCCTAATAAATGAGAAACATGTGTACATAATAATAAGATATTATCATTGCTCTTATGGAAAGAACAATCTGTACCAAAATGGCTTTCATTCATGTGATAAATGCTCATCAAGGACATTACTTGTGCAGGCCATTAAGCAAAGTGCTCTCTTGACAAATAAAATATATGGTAGATTTTTGTTGGGAAACCATTTAGACGTCTGGATTTATTTTGGAGATATCCAGAGGTGCTCTGTGTCAAAGGATGTGTCTTTGGAGTGTCTGCAAACGGTAGTTGGGAACTTATAGATAAAACTGTGGATAGAATCCGTAAAACTCGATCTGAAGCCAAACTACAGTGGTCACTAAATTAGGCATCTAAATCTGTTGTAGGTGAAGGGAACTGAGAAATAGTTTGGTGATGATGTTGTGGAAGTACCAAATATTTGGTTTGAATATTGCTCCTCAGAAATAAAGAATCCAGTCCTCTAAATATTTTAGTCTTGTGTGCATGCATCCATTCCAAACCCAGTTTGAGTGGCCTACTGAATGTGCCACTGAAAATTTATTCAGAACAGTGTACCCACGCTTAAAATCACACTTGCTTCCAAATACCACTTGGAAAGGAAAATCAGAGTGCCTACCACCCCTTTAAGTCTCTAACATCTTCCATTTGCATGTTTGGAGGTGGTTCAAGTTTTGTCAAAGGCACATGGAGAAGAGATAATGAAAGGAAATAACCAGGTTGATTGTCTGGGTTCAGGTTAGGAAAATCAAAATATATGGTGTGAAAAAATTGGAGGGTTAGAGCACCAACTTTCAATTTTAGTTTAATCAGTTTGATGCAGAGATTGAGTAGAACATATTAAAGCAATTAATGTTGACAAAGGGAGGCAGACACTGTTTTCAATGTACACCTGCAGAATTTCTCTTTAGGATTCTGTGGTCGCTGAAGCTCCTGGCTCAGCATTCCTCTGCAGGCAGCCTGATGCAGGGCTTGATCTCAGGACCTGGGATCATGACCTGAGCAGAAAGCAGATCTTTAACTGACTGAATCTCCCAGGTGCCCTGGAACTTTATATATAAATCTTATTTTAATTTTGTAGTTCTTATCCTGGAAGAAGATCCTTATTTTCTCTGTTATTATGAATGTGCAATCTAAAATACATATTTTACAGAATTGTGAATGCTTGATGTGAGAACAGGGTTGAGAATTTGTGCCTTTTTATTGGAGTTTCTGGCAGGACATTGCTGCTCAATGTGATTCTCTGATAAGGAACATGGACAATATCTGGGGGATTGGAAGAAACACAAAATCACACCAGATCCATAAAATCTAAATTTGAATTCTAACAAGATCCCTGTGTGATTCAAAGTACCCTGAAGTTTGAGAAACACTGCCTTAATGTGTTCTTTCAATGTTATCTCTGGACAGTGACTACATACATCATGGAAAACCCCCAATTTTTATAATATAGGTAAAGAGGAAAATTCTATTAATACATTTCTGAGTTTTATTTGTTCATTTACTCTAAACAAAATTTTTGATTGCTTAGGGGTATAAAATCTCTCTAACTTATGAGAATCATCACCGACTTTCAGTTTAAGATTACAAGTATGTGCGAACTGCCCATAAACATTTTGGGGGGGGTTCAGTATCACAGAGGGTTTTTACCTATTATTGGTCGATGTTTAGATTTTTAACCTTTTTTTAAACCAGCAAATGATCATTCTTTACAATAAAACTATAAATATGACCTTAATTAGTGAACTATTAGCTCATTACTAGTTGGCTTCTTTCTGTAGATATTAATGCATTTGGTCTTTAGGAAATATATACTCAAATTCCTCTCCATTGAGACCATGTTGAGAATGTGAGCCATAAAATGATAGTTGCTTTTTTTCCCCCACTTGTGCTCTTATTTCACTTTTGCTCTCTTTCTGCATGTTAGTCGAACCAGCAAACAATAAGGAAAAATATTTATAAATGTTAGAAGCATTGAAGTTAAAACAGTGCTAACATACATTTGCTTTTATGTAGTATACACTAAAACTCAAACAAACCATAGTGTTTACATTTTTAATATATTTAACATTTCTTGTTAAAGTTTAGGCAACTCTGCAGATCAAAGTCTGTTTTTTTTTATTTAGTCTTATAATTAGACAGAATTATAACCACATGACATTAGACAATATTGTTTAGACCTAAATTGAGACTAGAGACAATAGAATAGACAATAGAATCTCCTCTACGAAAGGTAAGATGGAATTTCCATTCTATATTTTCTGGGGTTTAATGTATTATTTTTCCAGAATAGAATTTGTATTATTTTAAAGATTTTATATATTTATATGAGAGAGAGAGAGAGAGTGAGAGAGAGCATGAGCAGGGTAAGGGGCAGAGGGAGAAGCAGACTCTCTGCTGATCAGGGAGCCTGATGTGGGGGACCCCAGGATCATGACCTGAGCAGAAGGCAGATTCTTAACCAACTGAGTCACCCAGGTGCCCCTAGAATTGGATTTGTATTTTTACCAAATAAAAAATGAGATATTTTCTAATAGTCTACTTTTCCTAATCTTCAAAATCATTCTTACAGTTTAATTTTTTGAAGCAACCATGTGTTTTTCACTTGAAAGACCCTTGATAACTCAGGTAGGCATAATAATTTCATATTGCATAAATTTCAGTTTTGAAATAAAACTAACATTTATTTTTTTAAAAACACATATAATTTAAAGGAACTTATCAAAATCAAGTACCTCCAAACCTTGATTGTCACACCTTTTATAGAGAAGGTAATCCATTTAAAATACCACATTTTCCAGGTGAATAATTGGAAAGCAGCATACCATACTGGCTAAAAATCCCCTCATCATGGGAAATTTATTAATTTAAATATGTATTTATCAGAAAAATATCATTGACTTCAATGGTTGAGAAGCTATAAAGAATTGAAGACTCAAGTTAATGATTTTTTGAAACTTTCTAAAGAGCAATTTAGAAGCAGTTCCCCACAACTTCAGGAAGTTAGCTGGTGAAGGCCAGAGGCAGCATACACGGGAGTGTGAACTAACTCAAGGTGTCAAGAGGCAGCTTCGCAGTCTCTAAGTGTGTCAGACAAGAAGAAAAGCATGCTAAGCAGGCAGGCCTTTTCCAAATCTGTTGAAGCCGGTTTTGCCAGCTGTACCATCTGAACTGGAAAAGGGACGGATTCTAGGCAACAAAATATCTTCAAATCACTTCTCATGCCAGGCTTGGCCCATCTTGTTTCTCCTGTGTTGTACTATTTGCGTGCTCACTACTGTCATGAAATCCCTCCCAACCCTACTTTCTATAAAAAATAAGACATAATTAAATTTTTATCATAAACAGAGATTTACTTTTCAAAAATCAATGTTACTATTTAATGATATGGTTTTATTCCCTTAAGAAACAAGGAAACAAGGAATTTTGTCAAGAAAATCCTGTTTTGTCTTTGACATTCCTCAAGAACTAATAAGGTTGTTAAAGGATAAAAATATTTTAAAAAGGTATAATCATGGCTCTTATACAGATATAAAATGAACATGTATCAAAGATTTATTGAACTCACTAATTAGTAAGGGAACCAGTAAAGTATTACAACCAGTTCAAGGGAGAATTTAAACCCTCTCTTAAATAAGGAATGCTGAAATGAAGTTATGAAGAGAGGCAAAAACCAGAAAAACTGACCCATATCCATAGGGTAATAATCAATTACATTCAAATGGATACAATGTAGGACTAGAATCATTTGCACTATCAGTGTCTATGAATTATGTAGTTATTGAACAGTTCAAAGTCAATGCAAGACGCAGAGCCTCCACAGAATCAGGTAACAGGGAGGATGTGCTGGAAAAAGATACTGTTTTTCATTGTGTATACCCATAATCTTTCATCCATTTCAAAGTTTTACAATTTTATCCCACAATTTCCTTGAGAGAAGTCACCAAATGAAATGAATTAGGACATAAAATGGAGCATGATCCCCGTGCACAGTAGAGTATAGCAAATTTGTCAGATAAATTTATTTTAGCACCTTGCATTTATTTTGTAGTATTTTTCACAATCTACCATTTATTTCTAACTTCATTATTGCTTTTTCTCTTGTCTTTTCCCAAATTCTATTAGTTCAAACTTACAGCTTCCTAAACTTATTATTCCCCTTTTCTTATGTTTTAATTGCCCTTTTACAATTCCCCAAAGAAATGGGCAGTAGAAGTAAAATTTCCTAAAAAATTATGGATTTCAGTCTGAAAATATAAGGAATTTCATTAGCAAATACAAAAAGAAAGGCATTTTCAAACTTTACAGCCATACCTTGGAGATATTGTGACTTTAGTTCCAGAACACTACAATAAAGCGAATATTGCAATAAAGTGGGCCAATGAATATTTTGGTTTCACAGTGCATATAAAAATTATGTGTATACTATATTGTAGTCTATTAAATGTGCAATAGCATTGTGTCTAAAAATGTATATATTTTAATTTAAAAACAACTTATTGCTAAAAAATACTAACCATCATCTGAGCTTTCAGCAACTCATAGTCACTGATCATGGGTCTCCATAACAAATACAGTAATCTGAAAAAGTTTGAAATACACAGAGACATGAAGTGAGCAAGGGCTATTGGGAAAATGGCGCCGATAGACTTGCTAAAGGCAGGGCTGCCATGAAACTTCAATTTGTAAAACAAAACAACACAAAACAAAACAACACA